GCTCGATCCGGGATTCGAACCCCCGACCGTGCGTGTGATATAGTGCGCCACTTGCCACTACAACACCTACGCCCAAAGACATAAGTTTGTGAAAAACGGTCCTGAAATGGTGCAGTGAAGGCTCGAGTTCTGATAACTTTTCTCACCATTGGTAAGAGCAGGTTACTAGACTCAGAGCCCTTACTATGCCGTTTCTAGATCGCTCCCTGATGAAGTTGTTTGGCTCGAACTTAAGTATTTATTCTGTGTAATAATTAGTAATTAGAAATGGTAATGTAACACCCAGAAACCCGAGCGATCTTACGTCTTGTTAGTTCCATTTTTTTAGTTCTTTTTCTGTAGGTTACTCCGAACGTCTTACCCCGTGGGGCTACACAGTGGCTCCCGGAATTTTCATCTCACGTCTACTTCCGAATGGTCTAGCAGCGTCAACAAATTTGCTTAGCGTCAATGACGAGATTGTCGAAGTTAATGGAATCGAAGTAATCATTTCAGTTACCTGATAAAGTGCTCTTTCTCGTGCCAGTCATAGATCCTTATTCAGGTATCTGAGAAGACCCTCGATCAGGTGACGGACATCATGATCGCCAACTCGGCCAATCTCATCCTGACAGTCAGACCTGCAGGACCTAGCTCACATCACAATTTGCCATATTTACTGCCTCCACCCTGTGCCTTAACTCCTTTACCTCCCAGCTACTATAGCCCATACGGTTGTAGTCCACATCGGGACTATCGCGACTACGGTATACCACCTGGAATACTTCCGAGTTACTGCAGTCCTCAGATGACACAATCACTATGGGCCCCCAGCAATCTTCTTCGGTATGGTATGGAAAATCAACCGGAAATGGGCAGGTTAGCTTTTATTCATTTTTTGTGCAAATTTGTAGTTTTTTTATGTGGCTTCTCAGAATGCCGATCTCACAGCCACTACATTGCTCGTCGTTCTCTCGCGAGAGCACCTGGCGAATAAGTGACAAACTCGCGAAGATGTCATTGCGGTCTCGCGATTCACCCCAGCACCACTCGGATCAGAAGAAACGACCGCTTACAGTCCACTGCTCCACTCAGAACGTGATTCCTGCTCCGCCATACCCATTCTACGGCTATTGATTCTTATGTGTAAATTTAACATAAATCTTTACAAAAATTTTGGTTTTTTATTTTGAACTGGTGAATTATTGGGAATTCATTAGGAATGGTACAACTTATACTGATGCTCAACTTGGACTCTCGTCTTTGACGGAGAAGTTTCCTGAGAAGACAGCTCGGTTAGAAAAAATAGCGTAAAACGACGCCGTAGAAATTGCTGATGCGGTAATCGGCGACTTATCTTTGGCCTGAACTTCCGTGAGAGGTCTTTTGTTCCACGAGAATTTCGTTATCATACTGATAGATCGGTGATTAAGCAGAACCTTCCCTTACGACCCTTTTCTTTCTAGAAATCAGAAGAATTCGCCGAAACCTTGCCTCCATTTATGCAAATTTCAATCATTTGAAAACTGAAAATAGTTATTTTTGCCCGGACGTACTAGACAGTACGGTACACAGTAGAAATGATTGACCGTCTGCCTCGGAATTTCTTGGTCTCTTCTACATTTCTGAAGTTAGGCTTGGTTTCTTCTTTTAAGGAGCCTCTTTCATGAGCATCTCTTCCAGAACCATTCGATTTCTGGTCCTTACGTTGTGAGAAGTCACATGTCTGTTTATTCATGGTAAATTGATGTTTACCCTGCTTCATCTTTCCACCCGCACTTATTGTATGTTTGTATAGGGCATTGTAAATAAGCATATGAAATGAGAATTTTTGTGTGAAATGAGTAGTAATGCGGCTAAGTCTCTAATCCTGCAAACTTCGCTGTTCAATGTGACCACCCACGAGTATCTCCCTTCTCCTGATTCAGAATGCTGCTAGTGGTAAGCCTGCTTTTACCCTTGGCAATGGCCATGCCATTCGACGTGGTGTCTGAATCTGCCACACAAATAACTTACGATGACGGTTTCGCACGGAATAAAATGCTTCCGATGGCGGCCGCGGCTTATTCCAACAATCCACAGCAATGCCTTTCGAATCTTGGCAACAGCATCCAGGTGCTGCTCCTTTTGCTCGTTCTTCATTACGTGCTCCATTCCCTCAACGTATTTTTAGATGAAACGACTCACATCGGTCATCTGCGACATTACTATCGTTGACAAATGCACTGGGTTCAGTGCTGTAAGCAATGACGACAAAGCTATCATTTTATCATTCAGGTGCTTGTGCTTGTTTACTTGCCCAGAGCCTTTCTAATACGTTCGGGTAGACCTAAGTCTTGCTCCCAGAGCTAAAGTTTATTGGAAAAAGGAAAAATGGGGTCAGCTCAGTAGGGGGTTCAAGTTTGAGGCTATGCGTTTTGCCCAAAGGTCATTCTTGCGAGCAATGAAGTTCTGTTTTCCAGAGGTTCAGATAGGAACACTCAACTCATCGCAGAAGGTATCGAAACAATGCAGAAAAACCACGTGAGTTTTGGTATTACGACCAATTTTATACGGAAAGCTCTCACAAACTCTACTTCCAGACCCAATGGGCTGCTGGAGGTGTGGTCTCGAAGTATTTCAACGATGGTTTCATGAGAATTTGGAAGAACGGTATGAAAGATGACTTGGCCACGTTGCAAAGCCAACACAGCGGTTATGAACTTTGGGTAATGTTTGTTGAACCTTTAAAAGGGAATCCTGAACCCTTTTAAAGGCACGGTTCACGATAAAAAAAGGTTACTGAGTTCTTCCTTTAGAAATACTCAGCGCCCCCCATGGGTGGTGATAGTGGTAGAAGGGACCCTCTCGCTCCCACAATCTCGGCGCTGATGGCTAGTGGAAGCCCTGTTACTGCCGTAACTGGCCTTAACGCCCCTCGATCGATGTCACGTTAGACGAGTGTCGAGACAATACAGATTGCAACTATCCGATCTAGGACCCACACACAATCAGCTGATCGCCGAATGATGATGCGATATTTTTCTCCCATTCTTTTTTCCTCCATTATTCTTTCTGCTGCCGCGATCCTTTTTTTTTTAAATTTCCTACCCTATAAGGCTGAAGAGGGTGAGCCATTTGTGCTGTTACTAGGGTTTTTTTGTTCACTTATGCTTATAAGTGAATGAATTTTTACTACCATAGTCTGTTATTCGCACCAAGACCCACACGTACGCAATGACGCGCTGTGCGTAGTTCGTCCAAACGCTCCACTCCTCTCCATTTTTCTGGTCTCATTCTCGTCCAGCCCCCTTTTCCAGGGTTTTTCGAAGCCTTTTTTCACTTTGGAAACACCGATTCACGGAGTTTCTTCACCTTCATCGCTCTATTTTCGATCTTGTCTTCGATTTTTCATTATTATCTGGATTACCCAAAATTATCGTGAACCGTTCCTTTAAAAGTGGCCTTTGATGTAATGTACGCTTCCAGATCACAGGCCATTCTCTTGGAGGAGCTCTGGCTTCACTGGCCGCCTCGTATATCGCCCATAACAAGCTTTTTCCAGCAAACAAGGTCATCTTTTGTAATGCACTCATAGTTTCTATTCAACTTATGAAAAGTGAAATTTCAGATAAAAGTAGTGACTTTCGGACAGCCACGCACAGGAGACAAAGCCTACGCAGCTGCAGTGGAGAAAGAGGTCTGTCGGAACGGTCTGTTACCTATGTAGTTACCTAATATCAAGTCTCAGTGTAATTTTATCCAGTCAAAATAGATCGGTCCATTTAACCTTACTGTGTACATACTTTGTTATTCGAATTCTCGAGCAATATCTTTGCAGGTCCCTTACATTTTCCGTATAACGCATGCTCACGACGAGGTGCCCCACCTGCCACTAGAGAACATGGAAGGTTACTATCATCATAAAACTGAGGCAAGCCAAATTCGACAGTGAATCCTTGAATTTTTAGCAGTTTGACTTACTTTCCGAAATGAGCAGGGAAAAGATAGGAAGGTCTAAACTCATATAGTATTACCAGTTGGGCTACGCACGCCAATGCGTGCACCACATGCTCACGCTTAAAAGAGTCAATCGGTTGCTCTTCATCTCGAAAATTATGAACCATTAAAGGTTTAACTGATAGGCAACCGCAAAATTGAGTAGTACTCACTAATGTTCTCAAGTGATAATAACACCATTATATGATTTCGTTATCACTGGACCTTCTTTCCTCCACGGGTACATCATTAGTTGAGAAGTCGTAATTATTGGCGGTCGGATAAGCTTCGTCGTAAATGATATCAAATTATAAAGTGAACTTGAGCTTCCACCGAGTTACAAACCTTGCTGGGTAGCGGTACATCATAGATACCACAGGAGTTGAATTTAGTTGGCAAGTGCTCTTATCAGTCGCTATCAGCTGTTATCAATGCCTAACATCGGTCGCCTACGATCCCGCCATACTCCACATCACATGCCAAACTGTCAAAGCTCCACTATAA